ATATTCACTAGGGTTAGATACTATGTGAGGTTTCAGGCATCCACTGGGGGTCCTGCAATGTATCCCCAGCAGCTAAGGGACAACAGCTCTCTATACAGGCCACTCAGAACAGAGCCAAGGCCACGGTACATATTCAAGAAAGGTTAGCAACAATGATTTTCAAGAAGAAAGCCATGCCCACTTTTAAAGTTTGGGGACACAGAAGAGGGAAGAGGATCTAGTCTACTTGGGATCTTTCCCTTTTAAAAACCTTAAACCTTAAACTCTTTCCTCTGGGTTTGGTGTGTCACCATCTAAACATTCCCAAGACAGTTTTTCAAAGCTATAAAAGTAACTACAAAGACCCACAGAGCTGACACAGCAAAGGATGCTGAGGCCACTGAGGGCCACTGCTGACTCAGAGGTGGCTCACACTACACCTGCCCCAAGCCAGTCACCAATGACTCAGGGTGGCTCTTAGGTGTGAACACATGACTCCCCAACACAGGCCACCTCTACTGTAGGGTGTGAAGAGCCCTCATTCTTATTTCCTTCATTTTCCTCTCCTTATTTTTTAAGTAACCCAGACAAACTCATGGCAAGTTCAAAGGTTTCTCAGCTCCTAGACTAGGCATATGCTGGTCTATTATGGACCCAAAGAAAATAGAGACCCTCGGTTCTACAATTTTATATACAGTGAATGGCTACAAACTAATTTTGTATGGCCAATAACCCAGAAAATGGGTGTGCTTCCATATTTAATCCAAATTACATATTCATTCCAAAATCTAAAAATCAATAAATTAGGGAGACTGTGTGCCCAGTGCTAATAAACTCAAATTCCATAATTATTAATCAAAACATGCATATAATAGTCAACTTACACTCACTTAAAAAATGAATAAAATAGAGTTCTAACATATTTGATATTCTATTTAAGTATATAATGACTAGATTGATTTTTCACTCAGAGTGACTAATTTTAAAAGTTTTTCCCAAGTAAATTTTCTTGATAACTGGTAGAAAAAGATTTGTTGAAAAGGACAAAGACCCTTCAGAGCTATTTCCTTTGGGAAACAGTATCAACTGCTAATATTCTGGAAACCAGAGACCTGTGAGCCTGAAATTCTAGACATTTCCCAAAAGAGATGTGTTTAAGAATAACGGCAAAAGATGACATCTGAATGGCCAACAGGTATACTGAAAATGTTCACCAGTGCTAATCTTTGAGGAAATGCAAATCAAAGCCATGCCATGACAGCGCCCACCCCATTAAGAACAGCTGTCACTGGAAAGACAAAGATAACCAGGCTGGTGAGGACAGGAGGAAAAGGGAACCCTTGTGCATTGTTGGTGGGAATGTGAATTTGCGTAGCCTTTACTGGAGAACAGTGTGAAGGTTCCTCAACAAACTACAAATAGAACTCCACACAATCCAGCTATCCCTCTACAAGGAATACAGCCAAAAGGAAATGAAATCAGTATATTGAAGAGACATGGAAAGCCCATGGTTACTGCAGCACTATTCACAGTAGCCAAAAAATGGAAGCCACCTAAGTGTTCGGTGATAGAACGGATAAAGAAAAGGTGATCTGTATTCACAATGGAATACTATTTGGCCATAAAAAAGAATGGGATTCTGGCATTTGTGATGGTATGCATGGGAACTGGATACCATTATGTGAAATGAAATAAGCCAGGCACAGAACAGGATCTCATCAAATGTGGAATCTTGAAAAGTTAATCTCACAAAAGTTGAGAGTGGATGGTGGCTACCCGAGGCCAAGGGGAGCAGAGGAGAGGTAGATACAGGAAACGTTTAATCAATGGATAAGTTATGGTTAGAAGTCCTGGTGTGCTATTGCACAGAAAAGTGACCATAAAAAGTGAAAAGTAACTACAATTCCCTTCTTCCACTTCAGAAAAGAGGAACTTAAAAAAAAAATACCCATGAGTTGTACATGGTGGCACACAGCTATAATCCCAGCACTCTGGAGGCTGAAGCACAAGGATCGTGAATTCACAGCTGGCCTGGGCTGCAAAATGAGTTTGAGGCTGGCCATGGATATAAGCAAGACCCTGTCTCTCTCCCTCTCCGCCCCCCCCCCACACACACACACAAATACACCTACATCCTGCGAGCAAAAGACTGGCCTGAGTAAAAATGGGCTCTGGGCAGAGGTAACTATCCCACTGCAGAGGTAACTATCCCACTGCAATCTGCCCTGAGTTCTGGTCCAGGCCATCCTGAAGGCTAAATGCACGTGCTACTGACCCACGGCTTGAGCACTTCTGCAGATTCGTCATTTCCTTGGTGATGCGTCCAGTATGAGAAACAGATCTAAGTATGCATCAGTAGAACAATGACAGCACTGTATCCAGACGGTGAACAGCAGATGCCTAGGCTCAGACGTGGGAAGACAGTTACTGCACACAGGGTACAGGCACAGGCGCGGGGGCTTCCGAGGGGCTGCCTTCTAAGAAACATCACACAGATGATCCTGTTCCAGGAATGACTTCACACATGCTTTCTGCAGCTACATGTGTTTGTTGACATACACAAAAACACCTACGGTGGCCACTAAACCCAACTTCTGAGAGGTGTGAGAGCAGATTTTACTTCGCAGATCTTCACTTAGGGAATTTTTTAAAAAGTATGCGGGGTATTTTTCCATTTTTAACTAAAAATTAGCTTCAAATCACATCTGATATTTGTTAACTTTAGAGACAAATGTTTCTCTCTGTCTTTTTTGTTTTTTTAGACAGGGTTTCATTATGTAGCCCAGGCTGGCCTCGAACTTGCCAAACTCCTGCCTCAGCCTCCAGAGTTCTGGGATTATAGGCGTATACCACCAAGCCTGACTTAAAGTTTCTCTTATCTTCCTCAAACACACCTTCTTGCTATCCACTATATACGTTTTAGGTCATGTAAGAGTTCCCACACTTTCATACCGGTATGGATTCCAAACAGTATTCTGACATGACTAAAATGACCTGAAATCAAACAGTTTAAAGATGTTCCCACAGCATCTATTCACTGTGACATTATCTGTCTTTGACCACATGCCTCACCTCCAAAGTCTGGCTCCACACAATCACCCACACCACAGAGGACCTCTTCCATCTTTTCCCACAAGCCATTGCTCTGTTTCCCTTCCTTTGAGCCATAGGATTCCCAGGCTGTCCAGTTCCCCACCAAGAACCACCCTGGGAGCAATGCTTTCAAACGCCCAGCTTCATACCACAGGAAGTGACGGACGTATCTAAGTTCTTTCAAATAGTAGCACAACATTAAAAAAAAAAAAAAAAAAGAAGAATTCTAGAAAAACACCAATATGGCTGACAAACCCAATTCCAGACACTGCTGAGAGAGAAAAAACAAGAAGCAAGCCAGTCATTAACAGTGGTAACCATCAGTCTGCACGCTAGGCTCTTCTCCAGGCTTGTAGTTTCTGAACTTTCTGGAACAGACACACGCAAGCTATGTTTAAAACCAGACGTGGAGTCCAGGGCTCTGATGGCATTCTCCTAGGGAGCCTTCTGCAACGGTCTCATCGTGGAAAGGAGGAAAAATAGTGCTTCCCCTGAGGAAATGTCCCTGAGTCCCCAGGCCAGGTTAACTGCTCACTTTCTGTATTCCCCTAGCACTCTGTCCCTCCGCTGTCACCGTGCCACACACACTATTTCCACACTGGCATGCCACTAGTGGCAAGCTTGTCCAGGATGAGGATGGATGTTTGTGGTCCCACGAGAGTACTGTAATCAGAGTTGGAGTTTCTTAAATGCACAAGAAGTACCCTAGCTATAAATCCATCTGGGTGTTTAGTTAAGTACCTGTGGTCTGCTGGGGGTGCCTACGGCGTGCTTCAGAGAACTGAAGGACAGTCCCCAATGACTGCCCACAATACCCAAACTCTCCAATGTCACCATGACAATGAAGAGAACAGGAAAGCCGGGTGCTAGTGGCTCACGCCTGTAATCCTAGCTACTCAGGAGGCAGAGATCAGGAGGATCTTTGGATCGGAGCCAGCCCAGGTAAATAGTTCACAAGACCCTACCTCAAAAAACCCATCACTAAAAAGAGCTGGTGGAGTGGCTCAAGTGTTAGAGTGTCTACCTAGCAAGCCCCAGTACTACGAGAGAGAGAGAGAGAGAGAGAGAGAGAGAGAGAGAGAAGAAAGAAAACAGGAATGCAGCCATGACTGCAGCAAGGAGATCCACAAAGGTACAGGAAGCCAGAGACAGGGGAGAGGGGCTGCACTAGATGGAGGGGAAAGCGGAAAGCACCCCCTGCCCGGGAACGGCTACATCACTGGTGATGCAGTAATGACAAAGACAGAGGCGGTCACAGTCCTGGCATTTTCTCCTGTTCCTTTCATGTGTTAGGAATGTTCTTTGCACTCACTGAAACCATTAGCCCTTTTCAGATTTCCCTCTGTATTTTTGATTGAACAAACATACTTTAAACATCAGCTGTGTTCCGGGCACTCTTGTGAGGGCTCAGATGTGACTACGTCATGGTCTCTGGCTCAAGGGGCCTTCAGTCCAGCATGGGAGACACACGCACACGTACGGCACCCAGGTCCTGTACTCATTACAACACGGTCCCTTGTTTGACGCGAGCCCCGAAAAGTGGCTATGGAGTCATCTCCAGGGCTTCCCTTCCACAAGGGAGCAAGGAAGACATGGGACAACCAGGACAGGACAGGAAAAAGCAAAGTGCACCAGGCCAAGTTCAAGGCTCTGCAGCCAGCAGCCACTGCCACGCTCAGATGGCACCTGGCCACTTGTGCAGAAACAGTGCTTCTTTCTCTTTCTTTCTCATGCTCCCTCACGTGTGCTTTATTATCCAGGGCACTGGTTACAACTCCTAATACGTGACACCCCACATCGGTTAAGAAAGCGAACACTGAGCCAGCTACGCTGACAGCTTCAGCGCCACCTCCTTGTGAAGCCACCCAGGGGAAGGGCCCACACACCAGATTCAGCCAGCTCTGGAAGGCAGCCCTCCATCTGCTTACCACGTGTGTTGGTGGCCATGTCGGCCACTTTCTGAAAGGCGTCCAAGAAGGCAGCTGCTGCTACTACTGTCGTCCTAAAATGCAAACAGATAACAAAGGCATGAGGAATGTCTCACGCTAGCAAAGTCACTACAGCTCAAGGGCCAAACCTCCACTGCAGAGTGAACGAAGCCTTCCAGGAGAAACCATTCGGCTGCACTAGGACAAACCCTCACTCCTTCCCCATGCTCCACCCCACTAATGTTCTGACTGCATAAAAATCACTGCCAGGCAACATTCTGCAAATGAGGAAAAGACAGGTGCTTCTACTGAAAAGAAAAAAACATCATTAAGTAATATAAATAGAATCCCAGCCACTTGGGAAGCGGAGATGGTGAGGATTATTTTTGGAGGCCATCCCAAGCAAAAAGTCAGCAAGACTCCCCCACCATCTGAAACAACAAGCTGGGCATGGTGAGGCACATCTGTAATCCCAGCCACGTGGGAAGTATAGGTGGGTAGATCATGATCTGTACCCGGTCCCAGGAAAAAAGAACAAGCTCCTATCTGAAAAATAACTAAAGCAGAAGGGGTTGGGGGTGTGGCTCAAGTGGTAGAGCCACTGCCTAACAAGTGCAATGCCCTGGGTACAAATCCCAGTCCCGCCATCTGTTTTATATATATATATATATATATATATATATATATATATATATATAAGACAGATGAAATCAACTCTAGAGTAGGAAAATAACATCTACACACATGAGTTGGGGGAGAGACTCAATCCTGAAGGGATACTCATGTAGGGAAAGGGAAACTGAGGTTGCAGAGCCAGACAGCCTTTGAAGATTGCTCGTTCCCATCAGAGCTCAACTCACTGCAAGACAAGACCCTGGACGGCAGGGTGACTTCTCCCCATGAATTCCAGCTCTGATGAAACCAAGACATTTTTTCAACCCTAGGATGCTCATCCAAGTGTACCCTGTGAATTCCTAAGAGCTGAGAATGACAGAAATGTCCTAGGAAACTTTCTGGATTCTTTTTTTGGGTGGAGGCAGTACTGTGGTTGGACTTCAAGACCTTGCTAGGCAGGCGCTCTACCTCTTCAGCCACACCCCCCACTCTTTTTTAGCTTTTTTATTTTTCACATAGGGTTCATTTTTTGTCCAGGCTGGCCTCAGACCACAATCCTCCTATCTATGCCTCCCACAGAGCTATGTCTTCAGGCGTGCCCAACCACGCCTGGCTTACTGGTTGAAATAGGGTGTCACTAATTTTTTCCCTGGGCTGGCCTTAAACTGTGATCCTCCTGATCTCTACCTCCCAAGTAGCTGGGATTACAGGCATGAGCCACTGCACCCAGCCTTTTTTGGATTCTTAACATTGCCTTGAGTGCTATCAGAGGACTTGGGCTTGTGGCCTGCTGGTTTCCTCAGGCTGTGACCTATGGAGTCATATAATGAAGACAGCCTCCACTCCATGCCAAATCAACAAGCCCCCAACTAGCATGCAAGGACTTTATAATGGACCTTGGAGCAGTTGCTGATTTTCAAGAATTTCTTACATGAATCTAGTCTCTAGCCAACGGTCCTGAGGAAGCCAAGTCACTAAAAGAAGAATAAGGACTGGAAAGAAGAGAGTTCAAAATGGAGGGATAGGACAGATAGTCTTTAAACACAGCAACCGTGGTTATGAAATAAGAGGTCCCATGGGGCCAAACTTGAAAATGAGTTTCCAGGACAGCAAGAAGACATTCTGTTCAAATTCCAAAAAAATCACACACATCTTAAACATACTTTTTAAAGAGGTGACATCAAATGCAGATTCTAAGACAGTCAACTTTATTAGACATCCTGGGATTTATAAATAGCTCACCCTGATTTACAATTAATATCTGACACAGTGGCTGGATTTAATCTCATTCAGCTCAAAGTCAGTCATCTGAATTTTGCAAGCCAGCTATAGAGCTGCCTTACATATTACAGTCACCAGAGTTCCCCTGCAAATTAGAATGATGGTCAATTTTGAGGAATTAGGAACTTTAAGTGACAGTCATACTGCACTTTCTGACACTGTCACAAGACATCTTGTCTCCTCTCTGCGGAGACAAAGCAAATATGCATCCAAAGTAGAAGGAGTGATTCAGCTTAAATACACCAAGGCTTACCTGCTTCTCCTGCAGGTAACTTTACCCTTTCTCTAATACACAAACCTAAGCTCTCAGCCATGAAATAATACAGAAATGGTTCCTGGCCTCAGGAGGCCAGAATGTGGTTAAAAGGTACGCAATGTACCTTATTACAACAAGGACAGAATTACTCCATGTCTTACTTTCTATGTGCAACTTACTGTAGGCTCTAGCCTCCTCCCTGGCCAAAGGGAAAGAAAACCATTTCTTTCCTGGCCAGCCTGAAAGCCAGACAACGAAAAGCGGTCAACCAAGACAAGTGAGGACAAATGTACATAAATGTCTTAGCTCAGAGGAGAGCTCCCACAGAGTGGGGACTAACCTATTTGAAATCAGTGACAGCAATTTACTGGGAGCATGCAAAAAAAAAAAAAAAGGGGGTAGGAGTAGAGGGAGCCCCGGGGGGTGAGGCTGGTGAAGGCCTCGGGTGTAGACCCTTGAATTGTGCACAAGGAGGTGGATCTGATCCAGCAGAATGAATTAGGAGGTCTTAAGCAAGAAATGGGACAGGATTGGGCAAATGGAAAAGACGCCATGTTCTGGAGTCCACTGTCCACCTGGTGGCCACACACACACACACACACACACACACAGATGAAGGAATGGAAGGAATAGCTTGGCGCCTCCCCGGTTCTTCTCTCCTAACCCACAGGGGAGCAGGGACCCTCAGTGCCATGGCTACGGTTCCAGGTGTAACCTCTGGTGTGCACAGGCAGAGACATCACCCTTCCCTCATCTGTCAGTCATCCACGTGGCTCTTTATCCTACCTACCTGCTCTGCCCTCTCAACCATCTCATCCATCCAAAACAGCCAATATTACCCCCCACAGTTCACGAGTGGGGGCCATGAAAATACTTCTTTCTTCTCTTTTGAACCCAGAGCCTGTGTGTGCTAATCAACTTCTCTAACACTAAGACACAACCACAGCCTTTGGTTTTTTGAGACAGATTCTCCCTGTGTAGCTCAGGTTGTCCTTGAACTCTCTTGGTTAGCCTCAGCCTCCTGGGTGCTGGGATTACAGGCGTAAGCCACAGTGCCCACCTTAAGACACTTTTGTAAATGTTCCATCATTCATGGAGCACTCACTGTCCCCTTTCCCCACTGGCTTAAAAGGGTGGAGCTTCAACAGAAGACACTGGCATACCGTAACGAATAAGCACACTGGGCAGTAATAACAGCTTCTTAGAGCAGGTCTGGATTTTTAGCAGTTTTATTGAGGCATACTTTGCAAACCATAAAATCGCCCTTTAGAAGTATACAATGCGGTGATTTTTAGTAAATGTAGAATTGCACAACCATCTCCACCCCAGAAACATCCCTCTAACTCATTTGCAATCTGTCTCCTTTTCCACCCCCTAATCCTCACTTGTCTCTACACGTCATCTTTTTCCAGTCACATCATGGAAATGAATTATATAGTCAACACTGGGTTTTAAATTCTTTATATAGAAAGGCAATAAAGATGGATGAGAACTTGGACTCTGGAGTCAGACTGCCCAAGTTCAAATCTCTGCCTTGTCATTTAATATCTTTATGGTTCTGGATAAGTTATTTAGCTAACTGTGCCTCGGTTTAATCATCAGTAAAGCAGGGCTGATCACTGCCCTCACCCATGGGGTTGTGAGATGTAGACAAGACAACACATGCCTGGCTCAGAGTGGGGGTCACCTAAGTGTTGCCGGTTGTTACCTAACATACAGGACTCTACACATTGAGTGCACGGGGGCAGAGCAGACACGAGTCCAACTTCCCATATGGGAATCACCGGGCAGGAATATGGCTAATAAATAAATGGCAATACTTCCATCAGAATCTACTACGTGCTTCTCCAGCGTTAACACTTGGCGAGGTAACCCCTCTGCACGCTGGTTCGTCCTGCTCCATCCTGTGTACGATGCTGCCGTTCTCCTGCAGAACACAGGCTTCTACTTACCGCAGCTGGGACTGCAGCTTTCCGGCTTTGTTTATGAAATCTTCCCAAACTGGATAACTCCCCTACAACAAAACAAAGCCATCAGTAAGTCACACTGCGATGGACATCTCTCCTGACGCAAACACAACCCCCAGTGCCAATTTTTCAGGGAGCCATCTGTGGGGGGCATCTTCCTTTACAGTGAATGTGATATGCCACCCCACACTACATACAGGGGCACTGGCTCAGGAATGGCTCCCTGTAATCTTCGAATACTGCAGACACCCGATGGAATTCGTTTGGTAGAATCTAACACGTACACCTTCGAGTCAGTAGACCGTGGGCCCAAATTTAATGTGTACACACTGAAGGCTCTATCCTGAACCACCTGCTCACTCAACATGGCCCTGGATATTCTCACCTTTGTCCCAACAGCAGGGAGGAGAGAACCAGAGTGACTAGCAGGAAGCATTATCAGAGTATCAGAGTCTCGAGATTGGAAAGTTGCCTAAACAGAGCCACTCAGCTGATGGCTTACCCCTCACGTCAATGGACAGTATGACAACAGGTGGCTCCTTAGCAACTCTTCACCCAACAGCACTCATCGCTTGCCCTGGGCAGCCTGTCAGTCCTGTCCTCAGTGTTCATGCCGCTCTATTCCAACCTGCTCAGAGCCCTCAGAGTCAAAGCCAATAATCTGCGTCCCCTGAAGTCTGTTCAAAGTCCATTCACATTTCTCCAGGGGACCCGTGGGGGTTGTGGGTTGCACACACCCACAGCATCCTGGAGACAACCTATTGTGACTCTCCTCTTCTGAGCATGGTACTGAGACACGAAGTCAAATGTGCAGGTACAATTCTGACCAGGGCAAACCAGAGGGCAGCCTGGTACCTCGTTCTGTACACATTTAATGTATAATGAGATAGAAAAGCAATCCACCAAGAGGGAACTCAAAATAAACCCAGAAAAGGGGAAACCTGGTTAGAGATGTGGTGCTTGGCACTGAATCCTTTCAGTAGAGAACTAAGACCAAACACCTGAATTAAGGTTGCAGAACAGACTGCAAATGTTGTAAGTCCTGATGAGGTAAAAAAAATAATGTATGTCACCTCTTGATTTTGTTGTTAGGGGGAAGAGGGAGACAGTGGAATGACATTGATCTTTGCATCTTTCATTACAGAAAGCCCATCAAAACCATCTAAAATTGCAACAAAATAATTTCACCTTCCTAATGGTTTTCAGCAAGCTTTTTCTCGCCCTTATAGCACAGGTTCTCAACCTTGGCACCACTGACATTTTGGCCTGGAAATTTCACTGTTGTATCTTGTACATTATAAGATGACTAACAGCATCCGGGGATTCTACCCACCAGAGAAGACACCAGAAGCCTTCAACCACTAGTTGCAGACAACCAAAAATGTCTCCAGACATTGTCAGATGTCCTCTATGGGGGCAAAATCACCTCCAGTTAAGAACCACTGTCTTACAGGAACATCTCAGAACACTCATTTCTTTTGTTAAATTTGTTCACTATTACCCCATTTCAGTTTCCCTTTCTTCTGTTAAATGACAGCAAAATGAAATGTCTTTATTTTGAAAACAATACACATGGGTGGGGGACTCCTTTTATAAATTACCTATTCATTGATTTCTCTAGCTGTCAGTTCTGTCTGAAAGTGTACACAGAGATATCTAGAGAGCCGTCTTACCAACTGTTAAGTGGGTTACTTCTGGGTTCGTTTTCTTTGCACTTTCCCGTATGACTACTGTTTTGGTTTGGTTTGGTTTTAAGGGTCATGTTTCATTTTAATGAAAACAATAAATCCATTGCATTAAAAAACTTTAAGATCAAAGTAGAGGTTCTGGCAACTGCACCTTGAATTCACAGCCCACCAGCCCCAGGGTCTGTTTTACCTGTACTCACTCATTACTTCTGCACTTGTGCACCTGAGACCCCATGGCTGGGCCAAGGGCAGGTCCTGGCATTTACTCCCTCTGCAGCCATTTTCTCCCACGAGACACTAGGCTGCATGGGCAGGGATCCTGTCTGACCGGCTCTGTGTCAGCTCCACTTAAGCCTTGTCAACCAACTCCCAGGCACAGGGATGGCCATCTCACGTCGCCTCTACCCTGGGTTTGTGCCCTGGGGTTTCTTCGACCCAAGAGCAAAACTGCATGGTAACAAACAAGAATCCTGAGCGGGCTCAGGCCACCATTCCAGGCCCATCAAGACAGCATGGTGACCCCAACTTTGATACTAAGATCTCAGCATTTCCTCACCAAGCTTAGAGATGAGTACCCTTTCCACATCAGTAACCAGCTAACTAAAGAATTAAGGGTGAGATTGGAGTCCCCTGGCTGGCCACTGTAGATGTTCTTCTAGAGGGTTGGCAGCTGGCACCCAGAAAAGCACCAACGTTCTCTGTGGCCTCATCCAGCCATGCCCTTGATCTCCGACCCACAAGACATGAGGGGAGGCTCTTTGGAAAGCCTGAGAATGTTCAGAATTGTTACTCTCCTGCTCATGGCTGAAGGCGTGATCTTCTGTTCGAGGGAGAAGGACGTTAGACATGGCCTCCTCAGCCAAGCACCTATCACCCCCACCCAGAGAGCCCTGGAGAGGCCACAGGGTTGGTGCTTATTTATCAAGAAAAAGGCAAGAGGCCTAGACCAGGAGAACTGAGCCCTGAGTTCTACTCACTGCCCTGCCAGGAATTTACTGGGGGATATCATTTGACCTTTCTGGGTTCGTTTCCTTACGATGACAATAATTAAAATAATCTACCCCATCACTCTTACCAACACCACCACTTATTAAACATTGAAAGAATGTGGGAAAGAAATAAGGAAGAAGAATCTGGGAGTCTAATCTCCTGAATTGGATCTTAGCCCTCCTGCTTGCTCTGTGACTGGCCAAGTCATTTGACCTCTGCATGGAACATCCTTACTTCGCAGGGTTGCTGTGAGGAATAATGAGGCCATACGTGTCAGAGTCATCTGCACTCCATGTTTACTAAGCGCTATCCACAATGGCGGAGACGTGACTCAATCCATCCTCCAGTGAACAGACAAAGAAAATGTGGTATATCTACACAATGGAATACCACTCAGTCCCAGAAAGAGCAAAATCCTGACACTGCCATAACGCAGATGAACCTGGAGAAAACTACACTAAGTAAAGTCAGCCCAAAGCAGAAGAACGAGCACCACGCACTCACTCATTTGGAACCTGAAAGAGCTGATCTCACAAAAAGACAGAGTAGAATGGTGATTACCAGAGGTGGGGGTTGGGGGGTTATACAATTATAGCTGGATGGGAGAGGAAAAGTCCAGAATAGGCAAATACAGAGAGACAGAAAATAGGTAAGTGACTGCCCAGCGGAGAAGGGAATTGGGAATGACAGCTAATGGTTATATAGTTTCTACCTTGGACGTGCAAATGCTCTGAAACTGAGAGTAATGTCTGTTCCACTGCAGTGCCTGAGACACAGAAGGCACACGCCCGATGTGACCGATTCAAGCATGCTAGGCTCCCAGTCATCTCATTCAGGAGGTTTATTGGGAGAGAGGTTGAAAACTCCAAGTGAACCCATGCATCCGGGCGGGGCTCCCTCATTCTTCCTCTGCCCCTTGTGATTAGTTAACCACAGTTAAGATGAGAACATACCGAGCAGCTGGGTGCACAGTGTCAGACAGTCTGTCTGCCACTCCTAACCAAACGGCAGGATGGATACGCAACCCCAAGCTGAGCTACCTGAACGAGGAGACAGCTAAGCCACTTTCAGAGCTCCTTACTCCCCTCCCTGGAGCCTCATTTCAGTCTTTCTCAAATTAGCAACAAAAGAAGGGTCACCTCTCTCATCAAGGGGTACACATGGCTCCCCACCTACGAACACCCACTCAGCCAAAAGAAGCCTGCCAAAAGCGGCTCTCTCCTGACTTAATGCTATTTGACAATCTATCAGTGTGTCAGGCCCACCTGTTTTAGACAATCTATAATTTAATGGATTCCTTTAAAAAATCAACTTCTAAGAACAGAAGACAAAAACCTCCTTGTTGAGAAATGAAAAAAATAAGGTGTGTGAATGTTATTAAAACTGAAAGGCAAGGTGATGTTGGATTGTTCCAGATTTTATAAGTTTCTTTCAAGGAAAAAAAGTTTCTACCACTTGAAAGTAGTTTTACTACAAATTTTCAAAAGCTTGGAAAATGGGAGGAAGGAGGAAGAAGGGAACTGTAGAAAGGTGAAAAGGCAGCAGAGAATGATCTCTAGGGTTTTTACTACGGACTTGGTAAAGGAACCACATTCAAGTTTCAAAAGTGATTTGCAAACCAAGACCCTGGATGCACTTGGAACTCCTTCAGAAAGCAGCTTCAACACGGTCCTTTGTTTTCTAGGCTGCACCCCTTAACAGGAAGCCCTAGGAAGCTGCTGCCAAGGTTCCTGTCCAGGTTTCAGGGGGCAGCCTAGGCAAAATGGTCAAAGTTCCCAGAGCTGTGGACCAGGTCCATCGCAGACCCAACCACCACGGCACTCACTAGACCACACCTGAAGCTTTCCTACTTTCACAATCCAAGAAAATAGGACTCACACCCAGCACCCAGGCAACGGGAAGGAGGCTCTCCTCTCTGGAGCCACCTAAGACTTTGAGAGGTGGTGAGTTTTTTGATCCCTCAGCAGAGTGTAGAACCCAGAACCTAGATCACACCAGATTTGGAGAGAAAGATCCTACTAGAGAAAGAAGAGAAAGGCTGGTTGCTTACAAGAATATAACAGGACCCTCTTCATCAAGAGCAGGAAAGCCCCACCTCCTATGTGAGATGGTGTTCCTGAATACATGACTTCATTCCTGGATCAGCAGCAGCCAAGGGCTCCCCTATACACCAGCCATGCTGTCTTCTCCACAAACCTCTAGAGATTCAGCGACCATAAAAACTCAACACTCCCTGCCCAGCTCAAATATCACATCTTCTGGGACATCCTCAGCCACCATCTTTCCCATCCACCCTCCAGGGCTGGCTGCATCCACAACCTCAACTTGTCACATCACGCAACCCACTGTCTGGAAGCCTCAGGCCTTCC